CCTTATCATCTATATAAATTAAAATTTATATGGATGATAAAAACATAACCCAAAAGTTATGGTGAAGGAATAGTAAGACCAACTCTAGAAATATTTCCTCAATCAACATGGTATACTTTATTTATATTATCACAGCCTAAAAATTTTATGCAACATATATCACAACCTTTTCTCAGTTTCTTTGCTATATATTCAGTAATATAAGTGTCTATTTCTCTACTTTTTGGTGTGTCATGATTTCTAATTAGTGTTATAGTCTCTGGAGAATTAATATCTCCATCTTTTTTAAGCAATCAAAAAATTTTCCACTAAAGTTTTCCACTTATTTATCTATACTTTCCAGACCTCTTTTCTAATGGGAAATTTATAAATTTCTTTACATTGAAGCCACTCAGCTGAAGGAGAGTTTTATTGATTAAGTGAAACTTTATTAAAATATATATAACACCCAAGTGTTCTCATTAGTACTGCACCTATTTAAATGCTTAAAGTAAATTTCTTGCAGCTTAGTATCTTTTGTGACTGCCAAACTTCACCCAATATGTCATTGCACCTTAAATTAGGTGTTTTTTTTTTCTACAAATAATTGCATCTAAAATATTACATATTAACTTTTAAACTGACAAAACTTACCACTATAAAGTTACATAGTTTGTACTAATTTCAAGATACTTTCATATTTTTAGTGTTTAACACAAAACAACAAATTGTTAATGAGAAATAAACAAACTTGATAATTTGATGCACAAATTTTTTTTTTACTTACATAAAATACATTTGCAGGTACGAGTTTCAAAAATCAATATTATGTAACAATATATTATGTTATGTAACATAGATATGAATTAAATAAAAGTTTTTATTGTTTTTAATGCTTTGAAAAGTTTATGCATGGAGGAAAAGAGGAGTCAATTTTGTAATAAATATGTGAAATATATATGTGAAAAATCATTTAACATTAAAAACACATTGAAATCATTAAATTCAAATTTATTAGGCTGTCTTCTCCATAGCCAGTGCTTTCACACTTGCCCACACGCCCGCAAAAACCTTTTTTTTTTAATTTTATATCTAGTATTTAAAACTTTTTCTATTTTTATTTTAATTTAAATAGCAGAAAAAAAAGAATTTTTTAAATTGCGCAGGCTAACCTAAAAATGGCATTCATTAAAAATCAACCAAAGGTTTTTTTTGTATACTTGCAAAAAATGTCATAGTGAAATAGCCATATGTTAGGGTTTTAGTACATACATTGGCTGAAGGTTTGTAGTTAGGCAGGTACTATCTATATATAAAGAACTTTTATTACCATATTAAAAAGAATTTTAGAATTAAAGTCTGCATTTTAAAACTTAAAGTGTGCAAAATATATTAGAACAGTCAACCTCTTCTTGCAAAAATGTTTGTGCATGTGTGTATGTGTGTGTGTGTGTGTGTGTGTGCTGTATTTTTTAATGCTATAAAGTATTTTAAATATTTGGTTAAGACAAAGTAATTTAAATCGTAAGTAAAGGCTTGTTTTTCTGAACAAATACTATCACATTTTATTTTTATAATATGGCTGGAAATACTTTTCATTTTTTTGTTTGCAAAAATATCAAAAAAAAAATTTCTCTTTTTATTTTAATTAATTTAATTCATTAACAAATCTTTTTTTTTACAACTGACTTGCAATTTTATTACACATTTTTCTGTTCCTGTTAATTTTTTTGTATCAAAAATTGTTTCAATTTTGAACTAACCTTCTTTTAAGTATCTTTTAAGCAAACAGAAAAGTGTGTCTTGACTGCACTTGCATTAAAATGTACATATATTGAAATAAATTTTTTTGTAGTTTAGGTTTGGGTAATAAAATGTTGTAAACATTGTAATGATTTTAATAAACAACTTTTAGTAGAGTTTTTACTCTATTATTTTTATTTACTGTTAATTTGTTTTACTGATCTTTAATGGTTAATATTAAGGTGACCAATCGTCCTCCTTTAGGAAGGACAGTCCTCCTTTTTTTGGTCCTGTCCTACCTTGATCAGTGTCTTCCTTTTTGTCCTCCTTTTTGATATTTTAAAATTAGTTTTCTTATTTTAAAACTAATTGCAACTTAGCTGTTTAATATGAGTGATTTCTGACTCTATTCTCGGCTCATGTTGGGATATTGTGATTTCTATAAATGCATTTACTTGGTAATTGGTCAACTTTACGTAAACAAAAACTCTTTGAATATTTTTAAACTTTTTACTTGCGTAAAGCTGAGTAATTATTGGAGTAAATTGCTTAGCTTTGCGTGAATAACATTTGAGTTTTCCTAAATTCACTTAAGCTGAACAGTTATTCCGAGTAAAAGTAATTACTTCTTTTTATTCACCCGGTCTTTTATCTCATTCACCTGGTCTTTTATCTCATTCCATTGTCAAGCCTCAATAATTTAACTTGTACAAAGTGTTTTGTTTTTTAAATATTTGCAAATATTTTGCTCAAGTAATTAGAGTTGGTATGTTTTATTCTTGAATTCATAATTCTATTTATACGTAATATGTTTACATTATTATTATTATAATTTTATTTTATTCAAGTAATGGAAAACCCAAACAAGAGAAAATGTCATTTTAATGATCAATTGAAAAACGAATTTGATTTCCTCATGTCAGTGAGTGAAACCATTGTTTTTTGTAATATTTGCAGAGGAGAATTTAGTATTGCAGTTGGAGGGAGAAGTGCTATAACGAAACACTTAAACACCAACAAACATAAGAAGTCATTAGATGCTTCAGCTTCCACTAGTAAAGTAACAGATTTTTTTAAATCATCTAATTATTCTGAGGGTGAAAAATAGTTAGCTGTAATGGAGGGAACATTTGCATATCATACCATAATTCATAATCAAAGTTTTAGAAGTATGGATTGTACAAGTAAATTAATGAAAAAATTTCTAAATTTTAAATAATGCTAAATTTTCATGTGCAAGGACAAAATGTGAGGCTATTGTTAAATCAGTGTTTAAAAATTACTGTGATAAAGTACTTGCAGAAGACTTAAAAAATGCAAGACTTGTAACAATTTTATCTGATGCCTCAAATCACAATGAAACCAAATTGTATCCAATACTAGTAAGGTATTTTAATATTACCAAGGGCATTCAAGTAAATATTTTAAATTTAGAATCTATTGATGGTGAAACTGCTGATATTTTGTCACAACACCTATTCAGGGTTATAAATGAAAATGATTTGAAATCTAAAATTGTTGCACTAACAGCTGATAATACAAATACGAATTTTGGTGGGCGAAAACAGAAAGGAGTAAATAATGTCCATGTAAAATTACAGAACTTACTTCAAAAAAAAATACTAGGAATTGGTTGCAATGCTCATATTTTGTCAAATGCAATTAACACAGTATCATGTGCACTGCCAATTGATGTAGAAGTTATAATAACCACAGTTTATCTGTATTTTAGACGTTTTACAGTTCGTGTTGCTACTTTAAAACAATTTTGCGAAGAAGCAAATGTTGAATACAAAAAGCTTTTAGGATATTCAAAAGTAAGATGGCTTGCTTTAACACCTGCTATTGAGCATGTTTTAAAATTATTTGAACCCCTCTGATCATATTTTTTAAGTTTAGAAAAATGTCCAAAAATTCTTGAATTATTTTTCAATAATGTATTATCAGAGATATTTATGTATTTTGTACACAATCAGGCAACTTTTTTTCACAAAACGATTCAAAAGATTGAAAGCAATAATATATCTGCTGCAGAGGTTAGCCTTATTTTAAACGAATTTATCCTTCAATATAAATCACGATTTAAAGATAGTTTTATTCCTCTAATGATAAAAAAAAAGTTATCAAATTTAGAAGAGTCAAATCCTGGGTTAAGAGATAAATTTACCAAAGAAATGCAGAACTTTTACCAAACATGCTTCCAATATGTCGAAGAATGGTCTGAGACAAATATCACAGCATATAACAGTTTTTAATGGTGTTTTTTGAGTTCACATGATAATTGGGCAGATATTGAAAAGTGTGTTGAGTTTTTATTAACAGAAATTCCTGATATTAAAATTAATGACAATAGTCTGTATGATGAAATAAAAAGAGTAAATTTATATTTATGCTCAGATAAATTAGAACAATGGAAAAATAAAATTGTTGAAATTGATAAAAGATGGGTGGAAATATTTGACCACTTTAAAAATAAACACATTCCATATAAAAATTTAGCTATTCTTGTTGAGTTTGTGTTGAGCTGTCCTGGTTCTAATGCAGCAGTTGAAATAGTTTTTTCAATTGGTAATGATTTCTGGACCAGTGAAAAATCGAGATTAAATATTGATACTCTAGCAGCAGCACTCACTGTAAAAGTTAATATGAAACACATATCTTGCTCTGAAATTTCAAGCATATTGTTAGAAAACGAAATATTGGCAAAAAATATCCACTCAATTGAAAAATACTAATTTAACTAGATATTTTATTTTAATTAATCTTAAACTTTATGACAACTTAATTAAAAGGAATAAAAGAATGATTAGCATATTTTTATTTTAATGAAGTATTTTATTTATTTATGTAATACTTTTACAAAAAAATTTTTGTCCACCTTTTCATTGAAAAAAAAAATGGTCACCTTATTAATATTTTACTTTACCATGACATTTTTAAAAATTGTGGTTAAATAATGAATAACAAATGTCAATTTGTTTTGCTGGTCTGAAAAGGTTGATTTTTTAGTAAATGGAAGCATTTAAAACAAATTTTGATCAAACAATGAATAATAACTGTTAAATTCTTTTTCAAATGATTTAAAAAAAAATCAACTTTAAATGATTTTCTCAACAAAACTAACTTGAAAATAATTTATGATAATAAAGTAAAATATAAATAACTATTAACATATGTATTTTAAGTATATGAATAACTTTTTAAACTTTTATTAGCAATATTTAATTATAAAGTTTCACATCACATGTCATTATATGTATATATATATATATTTTTAGGTAATTTGCATTACCTTTGTTTTAACATTTGCAATTACTGTTAACTATTGGCTGTTTAGTACCAATGAAATACTATCATTCACCGTATATACAACATACGCAGTCTGTAGTTCTATTGTCATGCATTTGTTAAAGTTGAAAGAACCTTCCCTTTTTGAGTATTCTCATATGAATGAAATCGAAAACAAACATCTAGCAGCAGGTTTAGCTTGGGGATATTATTTTGGTTATTTAAAAGAGCAACTTCCCAAGTTGGACCTGCTGATTAAAAATGCTGTTTCACCTGATTTTGAGATTGAAGGAAATGATGCTCGTGATCACCTCAAACCAATATTGTATATTATTATCCCAAAAGATTGTAATTGTACCGAAAGCCTTCAAAAATGTGACGATAGGATTAAGTTTCAGGACACTTCTATTGAGGATCGACGAAATACAGGGGGAGTTCAAGAAAGATCATATAAAAATAGTGTTTACTCTATCACTGATATATTACCAAACGGCAATATAAAATATAAATATCTCTTAATGGAATATGCTACTCCAATTAAAAATTTATATCTAATGTCTAAACACTCTAAAACTGGTTTGAATGATGAGGATCTTAAACGTGAAGTTACTTTGTTTTATAAGAAACTAAAAAGTATATTAGAATCTGATTCAAGTTGTTCAGGGTTATATAAACTGATTTTACTTGGGAGCACAAAAGCTTCTAAAAATAACCTCGTTGATATCTTGAATAAAGAAATTGACGATATAAACGTAAGTATTTAGCTTCAAGAATGTATATTTATATATATATAAATATATATATATTTTTTTAAATTTTTTTTTTCAAGACTTTCAATGCTGGAATGACTTAAAATGCTTCACTAAACTAATTTTTTGAGTTTTTTACTTTTATAAAAGTGTAAAGTATATTTATAAAGGAATTTATAACAAACATTTTAATGAAAATTGAGACTTCATAAACATTTTTTTAATTATGTTTGCAGCAGGAGTTTTTTTTATTATTGCAGTTGTTTATTAGTGTTTACTTTTTTTCCTAAAATACAAACCTTTATTGATTTAAAATTTGTTTTCTGTGGATTGTTCATATAATTATTCAATCGGTATTAATCAAGCCTAAAATAAAATTGCTCAAGCTCTAAATTTTTAAAAAGTATTTTGCCAGACAAGTCAACTAGCCTAATATAGTTAGCGTATGTAAAAGATAATATCTATACAACAAAGGTCCCTGACTATTTAAAAATTGCCAATTTTCAATAATACTAATTCAATAATTCTCAATAATTCCAATTTTCAATAAAGTTAATTTTGTAAGTAGTTTTTGCTTTATTTCTGTCCATTCTACCTTATTGAAATTTTTAGAAATACTTTGCATTATAACTAGATTTGTTTACGATTAAAGAAAACATTTTCAAAATTCCTTTTTTTTTTCGATAAAAATTTTAGTCTTTGGTCTTGAAAATGTTTGCGTTGAAAATGTTTATTGAGAACAATTTAGAGTTAATTAAGTAAATGAAAAAATCATTTAATGTGAGAAATTTAAATAAAAAAGTGAAATACTGTGATAATTGAAAATAAAAAAGACTGAATTTAATTTAAAAAAAAAAGAAAAGGAAGCTTCAACTTTAGGTCAGTTTCATGTTACTGATGCAATTCATGTTACTGAAATAAATTTTGTCACACTAGTAACATCAATTAAATCAACAATGTCTGATGTTGGTCCAGTTAATCCTCTATTTGATTCCCAATTAAAAGCATTAAGAGAAAAACTTTTGCCAATTGCAATTAATAATTGGATTTTACTTTTTTCAAATATCAAAGACAATATAAAGGAAATGAGTAATTTTTCTGCAAACTCCGTCTGCTAATTTTGCAATTAAAACGAATAAAGTTTTATACTCTTTTGAAAAAATTCTGTTAGAAGATAACTATGAGAATGTTTTTGCATTTACTAGTAAAGAAAGTGGTGTTGCAAGGTTAGTTCGTACCACATGTTCCAAGGTTAGTTCGTACCACATGTAAGGGATTTCATTCAAGGGGTAGCGGGGAAGCTATATTATCATATAATATAATAATCATTATTTTATACTAACCGTCAAAACCCGCACGATAATGTATATATTAAGTCTGTTCTACACCCAACTATATATAAACTTGTTTTTAATTTGGTCTCTTTACTTTAATAATTTTTAGTAAACGGCAGAAAATTAATCGATCTAATATTCTTGGCTTTTAGTTAACATTAAATTTCTATACTATAAAACTATACTTATTTACTTTAATACTTTATAAATTATCTTTTTTTAACCCTTTCATTAAAATTTATTTAAAAAGCAAAAGAGGACACAGAAAAAGGGTCACAAGTTCTAGTTATGTCAAATAAGTTAGCTCTATCTGTTTGAAATTTTTTCAAGAAACTTTTCTGTAAAAACTTTGACTGGCTTCTCAAAAAAAACAGTTTAGCTGTATACATTCTCTAATCTTGACATACTTAGACATACTCTAAATCTTATTGGTCAATTGCTGTTAACAACTGTCCAGTTGCAGTTTATTTTTTTCAATTTTTAATTTTGATTGTGTTTTTTTCTGCATTAACACACCAATGGAATTAGCTTACCAACATTGAAACGATTTACGGATACAAGTCGGTCTACTCACCAAAATGCAGTGGATGCACTTTAGAAAAAAAAAATAATTCAAAAGATTCTTGTCAGTATGTCTGAATCAACAACTAAAAAGATGACATGCGATTGGAAGCAAAAAGATTTATTGCAAGTATGAATAAGCTAGAGACCAAGTATGGTCAATGGTTTTAAAAAGTTTTAACAAAACAAACAAATGTCTTCAATATTCAAAACCTGATTTGAATACAGCCATAAAGATGTTGCAATCCTTAAAAACATTCGTTCAACACCTTTGAACTCAATTCAGTAAAATATAACAGAATTGTAAAATTCTGTTTCAAAACAATGCGTAAAACAAGAGCATAAAAAATAAATTAAGCAAAGCAGAAATAGGACTATCATGATTCAGAAGCAGATGATGCTGACGCCGGGTTAACGCCTTTGGACAAGTTTAAAATACACAAATTTCTTCCAATTATTAACAAGCTGCTATCAGCCTTGAATCACAGAATCTCTGAATACAGAGTTAGTGACAAGAGATTTGGTTTTTTGCCTCAAGTTAATACTTCGTATAAGCAAAGGTAGAGAACTGCAGATGTTCATTTTTATTGAGAAACATAGGCTCGTGGCTGCTTTCCCAAATGTTTTAATTGCACTTCTCGTGTATCTTGGTTTAATATTAGGCAGCGGAGAACATTTATTCTCTCAACTTAAATTTAATCAAAACGATTTAAGATTAACCATTAGCCAAAAACGTCCAAATGGCCTGTTGCTGTTATGCATATAAATAGGCTAATTTTTATATGTTAATAAACTTTAGCAGTCTGATTTAGATTGTGTATTTGAAGAGTTTGCTTATAAAAAATTTTGAAAAGGTAACAACTAATAGTCTAAAATTTCTGTAAATAAACAAACCATCAAAGTTACCAAAAATGCAATTAACTAAATCATTAAAGAGGTATTGCTATTTATTGCGTTGATTTATTAGTTTCTTTAATTTTATTTGTGTTTTAAATATAATTTATTAAAAACCAATATATCTTCATCTATTAGACTGGCGTAGATGTATTTATAAAAGAATGTTTCTTGAATAAATGCATTGTCTCTGTTTTAACTGATTCCCATTTTATAGGTCCTATAGAATGGGAATCAGTTAGCTGAAATTTCAGCTAAATGCAAGAAACCGATCTGTATTGTTAATGTAAGTGGAGTCATTGGTGTGTTGAATAAGTTTAATAAAAAATGTTTGAAAACTTCAGCATAAAAAGAACAAAATGGCTTTCTCTTGCAGAGGAAGAGAAAACTATTGCAGAGAATTCTTTCAATTTTGTTGGAAAAGATGTTTCATTTAAGGATCTTTATGCGACTCTCAATTTTATTATTTAAAATGTTACCAAATGTTTACCAACAAATTCCTTATTGAAAGAGTGGAAAAAATAATGAATGTAAACCCAATAATAAAATAAAATCTATTTCACTAACACTTAGCATTAGTGTTCCGAACTATGTAATTGCTTTAAGAGTGAAAACACAGCTTCTCCTGACGACAACTTCTCCTTCGATAACTTTTCCTGAATACTTTAATAATAGTATTTTTTTTAAGTAAAAAAATTACAAATTGTTAACTCAACTACATATGGTCGAAAATTTTATTAGTTAACACCAAAAATCAATACATCGTGAGTGATGGATTTTCAAAGCCTGATAAGTCAAAAACAGCAAGAGGTACACCATTAAAAATTAAAGCAGTGCCGCGGCCGCGGCGCAGTAGTTAGAGCGCTTGCTTTATAAGCAAGAGATCCAGGTCACTGATCTCTATAATAACTTATTATAGAGATCAATCATCAGTTATTAAAGAGATCAGTGATCCAAGTTCGAAACAAGCTTTGAACATATTTTCGCGTCACGGTAAGGAAGGAGGCGTGAACTTCCTGATTAAATGCACTTCCGCGGTGTTCTCTGACAAGACCGTTACGTCTTCTTGGGGCACCTAAATAACAAAAAAAAAAGCAAAGAAAATATTAATCTTGTTAAATAAAAAGACATTAAGAAACGCCAAACTTTTGCAAGGACGAAAAAATGTATGCAAAAGTAATGATAATGTATGTACAACCAAACAATAAACTATTTGAAAGAACATGGCTGAATACTTTTTACAATAACTTGCAAGTTATAGGACACGTTATAACGTTAATAGGAGCTTTTAATACAAGCTTGGATTAAAAGCTCCTATAAACGTATATGTATATATATATATATATATATATATATATATACGTATATATATATATATATATATATATATATATATATATATATATATATACGTATATATATATATATATATATATATATATATATATATATATATATATATATATATATATATATATATATATATATATATTTATTTTTTTTAATTTGCATTCACTCCCAACAAGGCTGCAAGCAACCACTATTAAGTTGGGAGTTACTAGGAAAAAAAAGAGTAGAGTTATAGAGCAAGGAAACGGTTGACAGAAGACTTGAAAAGTTGAAAGTTGTATGAGTCAGGAAAGCATGAAGGTGGGAGAGAGTTCCAAAGGATTGAAGTGCGGGGAAAAAAACTAGATGAATAAAAGTTTTTAGAGCATGCAGGGACAGATACAGTAAACGAATGAGACTTAGCTGAATAAGGAGTAAAAAGAGAATGAATTTTAGTTGATGGAACTAGAGATGATAACTCCTTTGAGCAGTGACCATGATATCATTTTAGAAAAGAGAAAAAGATGCAACTTTACGACGATGAGAAAGAGGTTCAAGCTTAGCAGATGTCCAGGTCCGACAACATTTACAATGCGTTTTTGGACCTTGTCAAGAAGAGAAAGTGAACCGTGAGAAGAATCAGCCCAAATATGACAACAGTATTCCATACAGGGACGAATAAGAGATTTGTAGAGGTAGAGAATGGAATCAGAAGTAAGGAAATGGCGAGCACGATAAAGAGAAGCAACCTTAGCAGAAGCTAATTTAGCAATCGATTGTATATATGGTTTCCATGAAAGGTCAGTAGTAAGTGATAATCCAAGAAGACGTTAAGAGGAGGACTCAGTAAGAGGATTGCCATTCATTAATATGGTAATGTTGACCATATTACGGTAGTTGTTTGCAGTAAGCAATTGGGTTTTGTTAGAGTTGAAATT